GCAACTAGAAATTCACTAAATTGTATTAAGTTCATATTCAGTTTTTCCGACATGCACATGCGGGCCTCCGTTGCCGCGTGGTTGAAAGGGGAGGTCTACGGAACATTTAGGCCCCCCAAAATGCCATGGTTCCGCTGAGTGTCTGGAATCATCCATTGGCTTTGAGCTTCTTTCGCTGTAGCGACCCAAGTCGACTTAAATGGCGCGCACTTCCGATCGAGTGGATTGGCCAAACAACCACCCTTCCTCCCACTATCAGCTTGCAAGGCCGCATTTCGGTGTATCCTTTTTTCCTTTTTTTTTTTTGGGGGGGGGGGCCTTTCTTGGGTTGGTTTTACCACCTAAAAAGGAGCACGCTGTGCGCCAAAAAGTTGGTGAAACCTATTGAGAATCCACAATTGCAGCACAACCCTCTTTGTCACCCGCCCTTTTGGAAGAATCCCCCACAAATAAATAACGGGAACTCGGAACCCTTTTGATTTAGGAGCAGGGGGCTTTGATTCAGGTTCAACAATCTCAAGCACAAATCAATCAGCAATTCGTGCGCCTCTTTCCGTCAGACTTGCAGGATCTTGCAGACGTGAAGTGGACGGGCCCTTTGCTTGGGCCAGTGTCAAAATGTGTGGCCGCCCTTGAATGACTAGATTCCATTCGGATTTTTCATGCCTCACTTCAGTCGGCGTTTTATCGCCCCTAGCTTTAACTTCACCATGCACATGCCAAACGGTGCAGACATTGAGCTAGCCGGCAGCTAGCCTGGGTCCGAAAATGAGGATCAGCGATCAAGAGTCCTGGCATTCATCTGGCCCTTCTCTCTCACAGAAAGCGGCACTTTGTGGTTGACAATATTTGGGGTTTTCCAGATGGTGGACACCGTTTTGCGTGTTTCAAAGGGGAACGTAGGGGAGAACCCAAATCCCTCTAAAATGGGCACGCCCCCCAAAGCAGATCCACCAGGGACCCGTAAAATATGTGGGCTACATGTACCTGCCTCCTTGCCCAAAAAGCTTCACATCTTGCGGATTAGTGGGCAAATGTTGACAACGTTTATAAAGGCCCAATTACATGGCATTCATAAGCAAAAGGCACCAACAAAGGCAAGGATCGCCGGACTAATAATTAATAGCAATCAAATTCCCCATCTGACGATCTTACCGACTGCGCCCTGGATGCCTGGACTCTGCCCACGCAGGCCCTTTGTCACTGGTGAGATGGACGCGGACGGAGTGAGGCGCTGCTCGAGCTGCTCGGTCCGTTTTCTTGTACTTCTGGGTACCCCAAAGTGACATCCAGCCCCCAAAGAGAAAAACGTGTAATTGTTCGACCTTAGTTTGTTTGTCATCTAATGAGACTCTACTGTTGACCCCGATTTTTCAACGCGCCCTATGATTTTGGGGTGGGGGGCCCCCACTAAAGGCACACCGGAACCCCGATCAAAATCAACTAGTGGGCTTGTATTGGGTATAACTTTGTTTCCCGGGCTCTGGAACCCTATGAGTGGTGAAGGCAACCCGGCAAAAGGGCGACTCAAAACAGCATGATGCATTGAGGCTTAGAAACCAATTCCCGTCCCCAAGCTTTGGGACAATTGCAAATAGGAGATTCCCAAAATGGATCTCCTTCAGTATTTCTGGGGAAACAGGGGAGCCAACCATCAGGGGAGGTCTTTTGAGAAACACTCATGTATTTGTGTGCCCTTACAGTTCATGATAATTCAGGTAACCGTGTTAGTGCTTTGGATTGGTTGGCGCTCGCTGAGCTGCGCATGGGGCATCGACGGAAGAAATCGGCTCGCAGGTATTTGGATCTTGGGACGTGAGGGGCCCTCAAATAACGTCGTGTGTATTTTGAAAAGGGGTTGGTGGACGTCATTTAGGTGGCCGCTCCCCCGGCCACCTTTTAGGTGGTCCCCACAAAAAAAGGAGTCACAATACTCTGGCAACAGCCTGTTGGCTTCTAGTCTTTCCTGGTTTCCCCTAGCCCCAAGTCACCCTCCCACCCGATCCCTGACGGGACTTGTGGGAAGAAGGGTAACGCAAATCCTACAGTCGCAAAACCTGAAGTAAGGGATCTCGCTAGCCCAGTTGAATCGCGCGCCATAAAATACCTCATATGATGATAAATTTCACCCGTGGGTTCCCCCTTCTCGGAGAGTGCTAAAGGGTCCAAGATGAGTGCAACAATTGGTGGAATCCACAGTTGGGGGCGTCTAGCATGTCCAGATTGCAAGCCTGTGGAATGCAAGCCCTTGATGGTTCCTCCGTCCCAGATCCCACGGGCTCGCGGAAGCTCGGACCATTGCCCCTGAGGGCGGATTAGTGGTTTGGGGGGGACTGGATGGGGACCCTTGGTGCTTCTCTGCCCAATGGAAGTGAGCTGACTTTCCCAGTCTTCCGAAACCTTCCAGTCGGCTTCCATGACTGCTGGGGGCACATGGGTCAAGGCGGCGAGAACAGTTGTGCAGGGTGAAAGCTCATCGCCTTGTAGTTCCGCCAAAGGGGTCATAAAGGTTTATGGAAGCTTTACCAAATCAGACCAGGTAGTAGAACTACCTACTAAAATGGCCAATGGGATTCGGTTCCAAGCGGAAACCACACAGAAACTCAGTTGCCCAAAAGCCCAACAAAAATAAAGGTTAACCTTTTGGGGCCAAGACAAAAACGGACCGAAATGGGAAAACCAACAGGTCAAAAGGTCGGCTTTGAACAACTGAGGAAGCTGCCCCTCTCACCCCCCCGCCCACGCATGGAGACGCCCTATCGAAGCCAGCCCTCCTTCCAATCAGAGGCAAAGCAAAGGCACTCTGCTCCAAACACCACCTTCTGGCTTGACAGGCCATGGCCATGATTCAAGAAGGTCCTGACACTTGCTAGGTCCCAAGCTGGAACTAAGGAAACCCAAATGCAGGACCTTCATTGAATTGCGCGGAAGAAAATTGGTTGAATGGACTTCATTGTTGAACCCTCAACCTAGGATGGGCATCTTTAAAATCATTTTAGTCAAGAAAGATGTCTCTGAGGGTTTCCTGGTGTTGGCCCAGCTGAATGTTGGGCCAGGGGCCGACCAAGAGCTGGCCGGACTCAGCTGCCCCCAGGCAGGCAGCATCCAGCGCTCCGATCAGCTGTTCAGCTGGCCGACGGCAGACATGCGCACAAAACAAAAAGCAAGCAAACACACATAGACAAAGACAACACACAACGACTCAAACAGAGAGAAGGAGAGAGAGAACCAGACGAAGAAGCAGGATCATATACTGGGTTCATCTTCCCTCAATGGATTGCGCTCTTGGCGTTGCACACCTGCCGTTGCGCAGGCCCGCTTAGTGCTTTCTGCATTGGCTTCTGCTTTGTATACAAAGCTCAAGCACGCTAACTTGAAAAGGTTGGAATTATGGGTGAGACGGAGCACCAAGCCTTGGATTCCGTGCGGACGCTGACATGAGAACCCTGCTAACCTTCAGATTCGTATCAAAAGGAGAACGGCCCAAGGAAACTGCCCCAAACCATTTACGGCGCACCGAGGCACACCCAATAGAGCCCAACAACTCATGCCAAGCCAAAAATCGCCAACCGGAGATAAAGAACCCCCAAGAAAGGAACCTTCGTTCACTTTGGGTGACGGCCCTACAAAGACGCAAGTGCAGTTCAAAGTAAATTTGGCGAGTTCACAACCTCACCAATAAAGTGGAGGGTTTCATCATCAGCTACTCTCCCACCCACATGGACTCCATACGAGCACTGAGACCTGTCACAAGTCAGGCCCCGGGCCAAATTCATATTCAGTGAATATTCAGAGCCACAGCAAGGGCTAGTGACTAGTGACTCGTATTCCTCCTGTGCCGAATGGTAAATGCTAAATCTTCAACATTTAGTGTGACAGGGCATAACTCCCTCGAACCACAAGCGAAGGTTCAGGACATATGAACCCTCTGTGCAAACTCTAGCTTATCGGTAAATCAGCCTTCAATCGCAGCTCCGTTGTTTCGTTACGGGAGACCACCCGACCAGCCTGACAAGGGCTCCAAAGATGGCCATAGTTCATGGTCATAAAAATTGTTGTTTTTTGAGGGTACCCCCCATAACAAACGGCTTCCATCATCTGGTTTCCCTTGTTCCTCCAACACCAACAATGGCACCCTCAAAGAAAGACACACCTCAGCCTTTGATCCTTTCTCCTACGAAGGCTGTTCCTCCCCCAACAAAAGTAAACTAATCCGGACCCTTTTTAGGGACACCCTCCATTCACGAACGGGTTTCCCTCCATTGGACCCCCCTCAAAAAAACAACACAAACATAAACCAGCAAGAAGTGATCTGGATCCGCTCTTAGGGGCACTCTACCATGCAACATCTTATCCAAGGTTGCCAAAAACATATTTGCTTACCAATATATTCCGAACAAATCAACATGGAACCGAACCCGCCAGCACTCAGAGGGTGAGACCATGGCTCCATCCCAGGATGGGCCCACCCCGAGATCAGCCCATCCGGTTTATCAACATAGGGGTCGCCCTTTTGGAAGGGCATCAACCACCTGAAGGAAGATCAGTTGTCCAAAGAACCCTGCAATAGAAGGGCAACCTTTTGGGGCCTTGACGAAACCTGCAACCCCCAAAAGTGGAACACCAAAAGGTCAAACAAGTCGGCGTTTGGGCTTTCTGGGCAAGTGAGCCATACATCCAAAACCTGAGCTAAGAATCCCCAGTACAGGACCTGCATGATCAGCACCCCCGAATTGGTGGAATAGCTCGCCACATTGGCAAATAGTTGGCTTTGGGCAACAGAGGAATTGGTCCATTGCTTTCGGGGGCCGTAATAATGGTGGTAGCTTTTAGTCCCCTTTAAAACCACCAACCAACAAAGGGGTACCCTCATCAGCAAGGGTTGATAGCCGTCTCCTCTTGGAGACAAAGCTGAATTTGTCGAAAGTCAGGGAGCTTCAGATTCATTAACCCATCATAGGGTTTCAGAAGCTGTCTCCGCCGAGGCACGGCGTCTTGGACTATGGCAGCATCTCCTTTCTGCAGACCGGGCACCTCGGTGCGTATGAAACAAAAGGAGGTGAAGGACACCGGCGTCCAGACAAAAGAACAAACCAACAGTCAAACAAAGAAGCAAACACAAATTAAAAGAAAGGACAAACCGGAACAAGCAAGCAGCAATCAAGCAAGCGAGAAAGCAAAGAAGCAAAGATCCAAAAACAAAATGCAGAAACAAGTAAACAACACAGCAAACAAGAAACAAGGAAACAACACACAAAACACCGGGAAACAAGCAAGCAAGCAAGCAAGCAAGCAAGCAGACAGACAAACAAACAAACAAACAAACAAACAACAAGCAAATGAATACATAAACCGGCACACCAAGAAACACACATACAAACAAACTAACCTCAAAAACAACACACACACACCAAACAAACAACCAACCAACCAACCAACCAACCAAGCATACAAACAATCAGACAAGAACACAAAACTTAAACACGCAATCACAAGCAAGCAAGAGCAAGCAAGCAAGCAAGCAAGCAAGCAAGCAAGCAAGGAAGCAAGGAAGCAAGGAAGCAAGGAAGCAAGGAAGCAAGGAAGCAAGGAAGCAAGGAAGCAAGCAAGCAAGCAAGCAAGCAAGCAAGCAAGCAAGCACGCAAGGAAGCAAGCAAGGAAGCAAGCAAGGAAGCAAGGAAGCAAGGAAGCAAGGAAGCAAGCAAGCAAGCAAGCAAGCAAGCAAGCACGCAAGGAAGCAAGCAAGGAAGCAAGCAAGGAAGCAAGCAAGCACGCAAGGAAGCAAGAAAGAAAGCGATCAAACAAGCAAACAAGCAAACACACACACACACAAACACACACACACACACCCAACCAAACACACGCACAAACAAACACACAAGCAAACAAACAAACAAACAAACAAACAAACCAACAAGCAAGCAAGCAAACAAACAAACAACAACCAACAAACACCAAACAGGCAAGCAAACACACACACACACACGAACAAACAACAGACAAAAAAAACAAAATAACATAAAATAACAAACCCAAACAGACAGACGGACGGACACACGGACAGACAAATACACAAGCACACACACACACACACACGCACAACCAAAGATCCAAATGAAGAAACAAAGAAGGAGAGAAAGAAACAAACAAGCAAGCCAGCAAACAACAAAGTAACAAGAAACAAACAAGCAAACCAACAGAAACACATAAACCAGCAACAATCAAGCACGAACCAACTAACACATAAACCGGCACACAACAAATTCACAAGCACGAAGCAAGCAAGAAAGCAGCAAGCCAGACAGCCAGCAAGCAAGAAAGCCTGGCTCAATTTGAGGTGCGCTACAGTTGGGAGGACTTCCAAACTTGGATTTGTTTGGTTGGTTCCGTTGAGCGCCACCCCATCCAAGAAAAGGATACCCTCAAAGAAACACAAACCATGGGATCCCGCGGTCTAAGAGGCGGACTGCGCAGGCTTGAGGGGGACCACTGGCACACCTGCGGGCCGGCAGATTGCACCAGGAGTGCAGGCAGATCGGTGGCGAGCTGCCCCACGTCAGTGGGAATCCTCCACTTTTCAGGGAAACACCCCTCCCAATAATTTGTCGATGAATCTGGGACCGACATTAGGCGATTGGCGTGATGAAAGCGAACCAAAGGAAACAGACCCATCTTCTAGCTTGACCAGACCGGACAAGGTCAAACAATGAACAGGGGGATACGGAAGGATTCTCAGAAGCCTTCGCATTGAAAGATCCGCCTGAAGGCCAAAGCCGAACTACAAAGGCCATGCCCATGGAATGGGAGTGGACAATCGTGCTCGAGAACCAAGGGAACGAGAGGGGCGAAAAGGTACGTCGCCAGCTTGGCGGGCAGAAAGGGATCATGACAATCAGGCAGAAACTTGCGGCACGATAAAATAAAGAGATCACATGTATATTGTAGCGGTCTGAAGTGATGACTCAGGGCAGGCCCTTTGAAGGCTCGAAGTGCTAGAAACAATGAGCAAGGCGGCCGCAAACTGAATGGTGCCAAAACAGTGGGTCATCAGCATCTGGATGAAATGTAAATTTCCAAAAACTTTTGGGTGGAACCTGCACCGAAAAGTGGGCCTCTGGGCACCCTCCCCCTCCCGGGTGGGAATCTAGGAAGTGAGGTGAACCAGGGCTGACCCCGTGCCTGGTGCTTGCCGCGTCCTGAGTCACCGAGAAGCCGCAGTCTTTAGCCATAAAAAAATGATTTTTCATGAGGATAGGATGGACCTTCCATTTTGGCCCCATCAAGGTCAACTCCTTTTGACCTATGCAATGGTTGTCTCTTCATTCCCCACCATGCGTGAATTAGGGTATCCATTCAGGGCTGTGTTGTTTTTAGAATAAAGGGAACTGGGTCCCTTATATCGTCAGGTAACCCTTAATCGGCTTCTTGGATTGGTGGTTTGGGGATTTGAAACCACCTCCTAAGCTTCAAACCACAAGTCCAAACCACCAATCGGAGGGCGGCTGAGTTAAAGCGAACATTTTGGAGGGGCTGTTTCCCTCCAATCATCATTTATCGATCATGGGAAACAACATGTAAGCCGTCACCTTCGACAGTCCCTGCCAATAGGTATTGGAAACCTAGATCTAAGCAAAGCCCCTGGGCATGTGGCGAAGTGGATACTAGGGGTTAGAGGATACCAGGGAGTAGTGGGAGCTAATAGCTAACGGATTAAGCAGAGCCCTGGCTGACTTTGATCGCGGGGGCGTCCCCTTGGGGTACAAGCCACTTTTGGAGGGAACACCCCCAACATTGCGGCTGGCTTTTTGACCGAAGGGCCGGGGATTGCAATCCGACTACTCCAAGGGCATCAGACCCTATCAGGTCTCTTTTATGCTGTGGACCGGCAAATCCTGCACCAATTGGAATGGATGAAGCCTGTAATGCTCGGAGTCAATCCCACCTACCAGGTGCAGGATGTTCATCCGCATTGCTCATTCATTCTTTCTGGTGAAATCAACCCTCTCCGAGTGCTTCAGTGCCAAGGTTCGGCGGAGCCCCGGCCATGTTCTGGTGGTTGAGGTAGGCTGTGACGCAGCTCTTGTGCAGCAAATGCCCGCACGTCATGCGACAAATGTCCTGCAGGCAAAGAAGCCTGACGGAAAGCGGAGAGGAAATGTTAATCGGTTTTGTCACAAGGCCGAGCGCTTCTTTAGCGCCTGTAAAGAACCACCCCTGTGATGCCGAAGTAGGACTATCTCTATGACTACTTTATCAATTCCCAGAAACTTGGGTTGGCATCGCATATGTTTTTTCCATTAATTTAAAACAAACTTTTCCAAGTGTCAAAGGGAAGAAAAGAGGTCAGGCCGTGATTTGCGCACCTTAAGCGCGCCTGTGGGGCCCAGGAAATTCAGATAAGCACCTTCAAAGCCACAAACTCGCCAACAAATGCAATCCATCCCTGCCCTTGTTCCCAGAGATCCAAAAGGACCACCCGAAGAACTCTCAGTTGCCGAAAGGACCCAGAATTACAAGGTGATCACCTTTTGGGGTGAGAAAAGAAAAGCCCAACAAGGGAAACCAAAAGGTCACATCAAAAGGTCGGTTCGATTCAAGTGAGTGTGTTGATGCACAGGGGAGGAGAAGGGACTGTCCCCTTGGAGCCCAAAACCGATTGAACGTGCTCCATTTCCCAGACACCCAATCGCTTTATGCTGCTTTTGGAGGATTGCCTTTGCTCATCAAGGAGACAAAAATATGTTTTTGTTAGTAGCCACTGGGGTGTCTGCGATTTCTGGTAGCTGGTTCCATGTATTGCCCGGTGTTGTGGAGTTCTGGCAAGGGATAGACAACATCTTGGTAGACACAAACATCGGGCGCAATTTCTCTCTCGCAGGTGTAGTATAATGATTCCAGTTACATCTTGCAGGTAGCCCCGGAAGCCAGCAAATAAAGTGGAAAATGGCCGGCTATCTAGTGGTAACTGGGATCCACTGTGTTGAATTGACTCCCGGGGGTGGTCCCTGATGACCCCGGATGCAACCTGCTGCATAAGGATTCCTTCTATTTTCCTGACGCACCCTAATCAACCGGATGACTATTCTGGGTGCCAAACAGGTACTTCGCCCCCAGATTCGCCTGGGGTTCCCATTGCCATTTGAGTCCTCCTCACTCTCCGAGTCCAGCTCAGCCAAGCAAATCGCGCAAATCTCCCCCTTCTCCGCGCAGTTTGTGTCCACTCGCCGGATCTCGCCTTACGTTCATACTTAGTTCTCCGTAGCAGGTGGTGGGTATCAACAAAGGGCTCGAGCATGCCCAAGCGATGTCTCTGAAGTCCAGTCCACCATGCAAGCCGACCGCTGCTTCACTTGAGATGAGACTGGCCTACTTTTTGATGACCACTGCACTCAGGTGATGGACGGACAACTCACTCCTACTCAAAGGATTTGTTTTAACATGTTTTAACCAGAGTTCTCAAGCCAATTAAGTTCCCGGGAAACCCAAGCCCTTCTTTCCCGTACGGTAGAACAAAACCCGGTTTTGTTAGTTCGAGAATCCCATATGCTCAAAGGGCCTTCACAACTCAAAGGCTCACAAAAGAGAACGTTTGGGGGCCAATTTTGCACACCTGTAGTTCACATACCCTCCCAGCAACCAACATGAAAATCCACAACCCTGTTCAACCGGACAGTCTTCCAAAAGAGGTCGGTGGACTTCCATGTTGGTGGGGGCGTATAAGTAGTTGATCCCCAAGTCCCAAAGGACCTTTGTGGGTGAGCTACTCCCAACGCCGCAGGTCAGCTCCGTGAATTTGCCCGGACAAGATCCAAAACAGGAGTTACCCAACTTGCTCCCCCTGCTTTCCAAGATAATGAGACCGCAATATGGCCTCATTAGGGGTCGTATTCTGTCCCTTGAAGCATGGCCCCTTAATAGCAGAAAAACACAAAGAAAAACATATTGTACTCTTGCGGTCCAAGGAGAGGAAGCCTTATCAGACACAACGCAGGAGAGAACAAACAACAAACCCACCGAGCCCACTCAAGCAAGCAAGCAAACAATGACGCGGCCAATCAACCAAGCAGGAAAATACCACCAAACACACACAAACAAACAAAGACTCCATGCATTCCCACCTACGAACATTCGAGCTTAATTGCTGCAAACAAATTCTCGGGGCATGGCCGACCATCGGCCATGCGTCTCCAAATCCGAACGTCAAACGTCCATTTTCAGTGGACCCCAGGTGGGGACCCCAAAATAGGCTGCAACAAGTGCGGCTAAGCACACACGTAGAACACTGCTGCAACACTGCACTTACCCGGAAAGCCTTGAAAGGCCTTGCTCGCCAGACATCCGACGCAACTCCATCCTGGGGTACCAAGGAACCTTTTGGCTGCAGTCAAACCCTTTGGCTGCAGTCAGGGTGCTGGCGATGACGTTCAGATTGTTACTCTTCCCATCTTCGCGCCACGCAAAGGCCACAGTGACTCTGCTCACAGGATCTTGACCTGATGGGCCCACCACGGTACCTCAGGCTCGGTATGCACGGTGCGTCTGGAAACATTTCGGTAGATGCCGTCCCTCGCACGTTGACATGGGGCCCATTCAGGAAGAAATTAGTCGTCAAGAAGTCATGGCTGGTAACCAAGGGTTTACCATGGTTTGCCTGCATGGTTTAACATGGTGGCTTGCCCTGGTTAAACATTGGGCCTTGCCTGGATCCACAGGGATGGCCATGCCGCTTTCAAACCAAGGATAAATAAACTAGGAGGAAAATAGAAGGTGATCCCCGATCCTCCTCTGGGAATTCAAACATGAGACGTCTTGACCCTGATTCCTGCCCTGACCTAAGCTAGGGCCGTGTGTAGCTGCGATTCCTCCCAGCTGCCCAGCTACGCGGGTAGAAGAAGGAAACCCTTCGTGGGATCAGCAATTCTTAGTGGGAAGCCACCAAACAAAACGGATTAAGTGAAGTGCCACAGAACATATGGGACGTTAACCCGAACACGATACCATGGGTCCCAAGCCGGCTTTCTCGCACTTGGTGAGCCCACCATAGCGTGGAGGTGTGCGAAGATGGGAAATAATTACAGTCATGCAAAACATATATATATATATATATATATTTAAACTACTGAGAAACCGGAGAGCGTCGCAAGGGTTTGAGTAGCATCTGAACAACCTAGGATTCCAGTCCTTACTACCATCCTTTGAAGTGATATAACCTAATCCATGGTCCTTGTAGGATAAAGGCTGGAAATGAGACTTAGGGAACCGAAACAAGGGTCTGGCAGATCGCCTTTGTTTGGGCCAGTCATGATATCATCACCGCTAACTCATTTAGATGATCCCCTCAAAATCACCGCCCCAGGGCTTTCTGGAGGGGTCCCTAGAAGTGGGTTGGCTACTGCTTTCGTGGCTCGTTGAGTTCTTCCGAGCCCGGGCATCGGCAATTCGAGCTCTCCCATCAGACTGAGGTGCCCAAGATGTTGGCGCGCACCACGACCTTTCCGCCGACACCTCGGAGTCTCAAATGAGCTTGCCGGGCCCTTGCCCCGAAGATCCTTTTCAAGGAAAGGGGCCCGACAAAATGGCCTTTGTTTCTTCTCTGGCTTCTCCTTTAAGCAACGAGAAAAACGTCCCTCCCAACAAAAATACAAACCCAGCTTCAAGTCTTCCACCCCAACAAAAAAGGCAAAACGGAACCAAATGGAGTGGTCACACCCTGTCCCAATTTCAGTTTTGATTGGCTGGCGATCCCCCAAACACCCCTCCTTCCCCCGAGTTCCCGAGAAGACCTTCAGAAACCCTGTCTGGCTGGTTGCTTGGTTCGTTCTCGCCAAACATGAGCTGCGAAACGCGGCCTTGTCAGATTCCAACATTACGAGCGATATGACCTTGATACGATCACACTTAACTATTAAGTACCCGTTGGGTATGACTTGTGTTGAGAGAACATTTGTTCTTCTTTTTTTTGCTGGGTTTAAAGGGAAACCAAAAGGACCACCCCCCCCCCCTTTTGCAGGCGTCCACTGAAAGAACACGCACCCTTTTAACACTTCTGTAAGACTAACTTCTCCAGCAAACCCAACTTTTCAGAGGGATACCACGGTAAATGGTAAAAACAACTCTCGAACCTTTGATACCGTTCAGGCCATGGCCATTTTTCAGCACCACGGCGAGTCCCTAGTTTTCTCTTCGGAGACAAAGCTGGCAATGGTAGGATCTCAGATCACCTTAGAACCAACTGGAACCAGCACCATCTATTTTCCCAACTTGCCTGAATATGACACTTGTGCTGGCATCCTTTCAGCTGCCACTCAGAAAGAGAAGGACGTTCCTTTTGTGATCCGACCCGTGCTTTTTGGTTTCGTTCGGTCTGTTCTTGCTTCTGTTGTCTATTTTTGCTCTTGTGTGGGTTTTGGATGGTATTGGTGGATTCCTGGTGGGCAAGTAAAACTCTGGGAGACCCCAAAAAGGGTGGCTGCCTGAAAGGCACCTTCAAATCCCCAGCTTCCAATTCCCATCCGGTCCGAGCGGCGCAGGTCCCGTGTGGCCGCCACGGCATCCCCACGGTTGTAGCCCCCTGCCAGCGACGGCCCGTCCTCCGTGTCGTCCTCGGTGATGGCCGTGGCAGCGGCATCGTCCACGTCCTTCGCACGGGACGCGGGGGCCAACCCCAGTGTTTCCAACAACCACTATAGGTCACCAGATGAAAAACATAGAGGTAAGAAACCCAGTTACTTGACCTGCTATAATTACTGGGAACTGGAAGCACTGGGAACTGTTGAAACATGTCAAAACCAGTGTTCCCTTTCAAAGGGTACCAGGGGATGCTTGTCTAAACATACTTTATCATACTTTGCCCGTACTTGCAGGAGCGGCTGTGTCAGGTGAGTGGGAAACCCACTTCACGGGAAACAGGGAAAAATGCTTAGATAGCATGCCACTGGAAAAAGGCAGTTTTGGGCCTCCCTTGGCAGAGCATACAGAACTCATTTGGCCATGGCCACGGTTGAATGCAGCAGTCTACCCCGATCTTGGGTATAGCCCAAGGAACGGGAACCCATGATTAACAACCCCCTGGTGGAAGAATCCATAGAGAACATCCCAACTCAAGGGGAGTCATTGCAATAGTGGCTCGTGCCTTGAGGCCGCAAACTGCCCTTCGGCTCTAATTCAGCGTGTTTTCTTGGGGAAGCAAATAAGTTCGCAGCAAATTCATCAGGTCCCAGTGCGGTTTCCTCTTGTGTAACCGACCATGGCTCATATAGGTCTCATTTTAGGGGAGCCCCTTTTGGTTGATTTTAAGGGCAAACTAAAAGGAAACCACGTTTGTTTCTGTTTCTTTCTTTCTTCAGGGCTCCTGAAAAACAAAACAGAAACATACCCGGGACCGCAGGTGGATTGGCCAAAACAAGTCAAAACAATGTCCCTAGAGCCAAATCGTCGCTGGTTTTGGCCCCCTTTTTGTTTCCCTTTCTGGCGGAGTCGCCCAACTGCCCCTTCCCCATACAGATCTGCGGTGCTTTGATCGCCGGCGGGGGGGGGAGGTGGAGGAGTCCTCCGCAATGGCGTTCAAGACCTTGAGGTCTTCGGGCTCCACATGGAGCACCTCGGCAAATCGGCTCCCTCCATGTGCCTGGACAAACATCCAGTGAAAACAATCCGGTTTTCAACTTTAAACTTGAAACCCAGGGAGAAAACACAAAACACATTTCAGCCTTCTTAGATCGGGGGTCAACTGGCGAAATGTGTTGAGACAATCAAGGTGGGCCCCGCCATTCAGGGAACCAAAATGATTTGGCGGAAACACCCATTCCACCGGGTTGATTCTGCCGTAGATTCATCGGCCGACAGGGAAGGAAGGGAAATCCGAAGGGGGTGGTTGAATTGAAACACTCGTGGATATGAACACGAAAAACATTGGCGGAGGGCCCCTGCAAGGGCCCTGGCCTGAATCATGTTTCACTGTTCGATCAGCTCCATACCCTTTCACGGGGAGATTGCGGTCCAGTTTAAACCATCTTGTGCGGAAACAGTGAACCGTAATTTTGGTTCGCGAACAAAAGATACAAACAAACAACGGAAATAAGGAGTTTGCCTTCATGTTGCTTGGCGAAAACAGACTAATTCGCGTTGCGGCACACGTGTCAAACACACAAACAAACACACACACACACACACACACACAAACAAACAAACAAACACACACACACACAAAAACAAACAAACAAACAAACAAACAAACAAACAAACAAACAAACAAACCAAGCAAGCAAGCAAGCAAGCAAACAGACAGACAGACAAACAGACAGAGAGCAAACAAACACACAAGAAACAGGTCAGTGGAGACCCCGCCCCCGAACCAGTTTCTTCCCTTCTGCGCTGGATCGCTCTTTGATCTGCTAAGGTTCATTGTTTAGTTACGTAGTGGAAAATTGTTGGTTCCTAAACGGCTTCCTGGCCTTCCACTCACATGGAAGCTGGTCCCTTGAGAGGAATGCAGTGTTCCAGGCGGGCCTCCACATCGCTTGTCTCACAGTCAACCCCAGCGTTTCGTTCGAGCCAGGGACAGTGATCCTCCTGGGACCCCGTTCTGGGTTTCCTCCGCTAGTAAACATGCTTTTTGTCGAGCAAACACCCGGGCTTAGACCTGCCAAAAGTTGACTTTGCGCTGATTGAAACGAAAACAGAAGAAAACCCAGAGGAGCAAAACGCGAAAAACCGCAAAACGCTGGAGACTCAGGGCGCCCCAATTTGGCTGGCTGCAGGGAAGCCCAAAGAAGACCGCGCATTTATGGGTTCCCCCGGCTCAGCCCCCCCCCCCCCCCCGGCCACATCTCGATTTGCGTGCGCCTTTTTTCCTGGAACCTTCTTTTGGCTCGTTGCTGGTAAGCCGACGGGTCAAACCAAAAACAGCTGGGATGGTTTGGTATCCCATGTTTTTCTTTTTGAGTTTAACCCTTCCAGTTGCTTTGGCGTGCCATTAGAAAACAAAAGACTAAACAAGAAGCTTGTTGCACAACTCCCATTTGGTTACGTCCCCTGAAAAGAATGATAACATTTGTCCAGTATTGACATCGATTCCCTGTAAAACCAACAGGCAACAGGGGAACATAAGTCACATACTATGGTTTAACATAAGTCATAGTCTTAAGCAAATGGAAGATATGGGTGTGAGTTTTAGTAAGGGCCCCCCAAAAGTATCACGGCCAAGTGCGGGGATGAGAAGCCCCCGAAATGGTTTCTCAAAATGCTGCACCCCTCTTTGGTTTAAAAGAAAAGCCAACAGAAAAGCACATTTCTACGGTTCCAGAGATCCCCTATTCTGAGACAAAAGCAAATGGGTTTTCACCCCACCTGCTTCCCTATATAAGCCAAGGTGCCACCTCCTCCCCGCCCTCCTTGTCGCCGCTGCTCTCCGCAGGCGAAAAGCGCACCGCCACACGGCTGGACTGGGAGCAGGAGGGGCCCACCACGACGCCCTGGGCGCCTCGAGACAACCAAGGGGTCTCGGTGTGTGTGTGTGTATTCATCTTGAGAATCTATTTTTTTGGGGTTGGTGTAGAGGGACACCAACAAAACATGTATGAGTTTCATAGGGGAACTTTGTTTGGGGCTGGTTTGAAGGAAAACCAAAAGGACACTCACAATTGTTGGGGGGTCCCCCCTTGCGTTTTGGCGGTTTTTTGGTGTCGGAACTTACAAATAAGCCAACCCGTCTACAAATATGTTGAGGCACCCCTTTCTCAAAGCGGAGTAAAGAACATCCAAAAGAAAAAACACAATTCTTAGAGCCCACGTAAATGTAAGGGGTCCAAAAAATACCAATAGTTGACTCATATAATCAAGGGTTGAATTTATGCCCCTGCTTAGGTCTGGGAGCAAACCCTGGTTCGACTTACAACCATGAGATGGGTGGGTGGAAAGGGTGGAAAAACACATATTTCCCACACCACCTAACTCATCCCTCCCCCCGCCCCCCGATAACAACGGCCCCGCAAAGTCTAAAATAGGGTTCAATGAAAAGGGGGGACCAGATTACATTACCCAATGGACCCCTTTACCATCTTAGTGGCACCCCCTACTTGCTCCCCATCTCTGCAACAACCAGGGGTTCAAATCCCCACAAATGGGGGTTACCATCAGTATAATGCCCAAGAACCCCCAGTGGCCATTGCCAAAAAACATATTTCCTGGATGATCTTAAAGAGAAACCACTCCGGAAAGCGGACACAGGGGCGCCGTTGGTCCGTCCCGTCACCCAAATAAATACGTGTCGATATAGAGATTCCCCCAAAAATCATTGTGGTTGCCGTCTGCCTTCCATCCCAGAAAGGCCCCCAAACAGGTGGCTTCGTTTTGGCTTCCTTTTAAAACCACCAAACTGTGGTACCAACTCCAAAAGAGAACGCAAACCCGATATGCTATGCAATATAGATGCTATGAAGAGCCGTTTGCTTGATGGAACATGATGGAACATGGCAGGGACTCCCCAAACCGCGGCTACGACGCGGCCGGCCGGGGCCTTTGGGCACCACCAGGAGCGTTCGCAAGGCGGCCACCCTGTCACCAGGTACCAAGCCCCCGGTGCAGGGCATGTGTTGGATCTCCGCCGGCACCACGTTCCTAAGCAAAATTCGACCCGCCAAACTTGCTGAATCCATAGGCAGGGAATGAGCTGCAATGACTCCTGGAAGCCATCCGGGCAATTCCCGGCTGAGCACCAGCAAGGAAAGGAGACCAGCTTTGGGCCAGCAAAACAAACAGATTACTCCACAAGTTTTAGGAGTTTGGAATTTCAATCCTAAGCATAGGTGACCCTTGCAATGGAATGGAACCATTGCCATCTGTTTCTAACCAAACTAACCTAAAACGGACACCTATGATCCGAAGCAGCTTGGGATGTATCCTTGAAAGGATCCCGGAGGACCTCTGTCTGCGCTGATTGCTTTTTGGGACCCTTTGCAGTCCAGTTTGACAGTTTGCCCTTTTGCACCTCAAGTGTCTCTATGGGCAACATGGGCGTGCCGTTCTTTGGGGGTAGGAGAAACAAATGTAAAAAACACCCTTTTCAGGTGTGTGTGTGTGTGTGTGGGTGTGTGTGTGTGTGTGTGTGGGTGTGTGTGTGGGTGTGGGTGTGCGTGTGCGTGTGCGTGTGCGTGTGCGCGTGTGCGCGTGCGCGTGTGCGCGTGTGCGCGTGTGCGCGTGTGCGCGTGTGCGCGCGTGCGCGCGTGCGCGCGTGCGCGCGTGCGCGCGTGCGCG